AACCAACCCAATCCTCTTCAGAAAGAAAGAACAAAAATTCTTCAAGTACAGAAAATTTTTGCCAGATTTTTGAATTCTCACTCACATGAGAGTGAGCCCGTGTATAAAATATTGAAAAAAGAAATTTTCGCACCTTTGAATGTGAGTGTTCGGTAGGTACAGGAATTCATGGTTGAAGAAAGAATGGTGAAGCATCCATTTCTTTCACGCATTCTCAACATAGAGAAATCAAAAATGATAATAGCTTCTTCAACTCCTCCTTCCCTCCCTTATTAAGATAACGAGTCAAAGTACAGAATTTTTGACTGATTCACGTAAACTTTTTGTTTTCAGATTTCTTCAAGCAAATTTAGATTCAACATATGAAATTTATATCCCAAGAATTTCAATCTATTTTCATTTAATCAATGTCACAACAAGAAGTCAAAGCAACGAATATGCAATTGTAAATCATACTGGAACTCAAGAAAATGATACGCATAAACCATTCGTTTCTTGGAAACTTATAAACAAAGTAAAAATTGTGCCCAGAAGAGGGAATTCTAAACGAGAGAAAGGAGAGGTGTTTACCTCCTTGCGATCTTCCATTCGATACACAAAATCCTCAATTTTCTTGAAAATAAGTTGTCTCTGCTTTTCCTTCACTTTAAACAACTTACTCAAAAAAACTTAACAGGAAGACAGAAAAGTTTTTAGAGAGGAAAGATTTGGGAATTTTGAATTGAAGAAGACGACTTACCTTTTGGTCGAATTAGCCTTCAATTTCCTTCCCGTCCCTTCAATTTCCGGCTTAACTTCTGGTGGGTTGCTGGTATAATACATGGACTGCTCAGTGTATGGTATTACTATGGATTTTGAGGCCCTAGGCCCAAGCCACATTTTGTGAGGCCCTCATTGTGAGTGTCGGTTAGGCTATCCGTCAAAAAATTTTGGGCACTGTAGCAACTTTGTTTGAGAAAAGCTAAAAGGTGTGGCTCGAGCAATTGATAGCTAACTTCTTCTTTTTCTGTTCCATTGACTGCCTTACTGGAAAAATTATAAAACTTTAATAGGATACTAAAATTCTAAAATTGTCAACATAATCGATAAATTTCATAAGTGGACTGCATGAGTTTGGTGCGTGGTATAGCTCCTTGGTATTAGACTCTCAACCAACTATATTATTTATTTATTTATTT